ATTCAACAGGAGAAACTATGGAATATTTCCAGATCCTATCCTGCCAAGTGAGTTATACTGGAATTTTAAAAACCATTTCACCTCAGATTTGTGAATGGAAAATACTTTAACACTAAATGAACAATTTAATTTAGCACAATATGGTATAACATTTTTTGATATATATTTATTCTTATGATGTCATGAAAACGTAGGAGAATTTTCCTTTCCTGGTTGAATTTCTATAATGTCTCCAATAGGCTTTGTTAGGGCGAGCTATCTTTTTTCTCTAATGACTATCCCAGGGATGTAGGATTTACAAATTTAGTCATCTCCAAAAATGTACTACTATGAGTGTAGGCCAAAATCATTTTGTATTTTTAGTTTAGCCAAAGGCTATAAAAAGTGATTTTTTGAAATTAGTAATTTGGGCTTCTAATGATAAGTGTTTAATCACCCATGCTAAAATGAAGTAGTAATTTCCACTGCTTCACTGTCTATCAGATGCACACTTTTTGATCTTCCCTGGGTCCTATGACATGTCACTAGAAGCCCTTTCCCTTACTCAGCTTGCAAACTTTCTCTTTAGAAGGAGCCTTTTCTCCAATATTCATCACGATATATTTCCCTCATATAGATAAATGTTCTTCTACTTGCTATTTTGTAATTCTACTTTTCTGAAAACTGAGCTCAGCTAGGTGCAGAGGCACACACCTGTAATCCCAGCAGCTCTGGGGGTTGAGACAGGAGGATTGTGAGTTCAAAGCCAGCCTCAGCAATAACGAAGCACTGAGCAACTCAGTGAGGTCCTGTCTCTAAATAAAATACAAAATAGGGCTGGGGATGTGGCTCAGTGGTCAGGTACCCCTGACTTGAATCCCTAGTACTCCACCCCCCCAAAAAAAATAGCTCAAATCACCTTCCCTGAGTCTCTCCTTCCACATAGCCAGCTCCTTCCACACATTATTTTATCCAGTAACTGCCAGCACATTGATCCATACATCTACCTTAATGCCTCCTGTCCCTCCATCTCTAAAGCACCTGAGTATTTCTTTTCCCATCATATAGATTATGTTGGAAAACTTCCTCCATCACTAAAACTACTTAAATTGATGAAAGAGCTGATGCTTTGCCTTTCTTGCTAGTAGACAAGAACGCTTCTATTAATGTCTCATACATATGATTTACAGCTTTATTATTCAACCTGTTTAATGTTGATGCTGTCATTGTTTTAAACTTTTTAATCATATTTTGACACTAAGTGTAGCTATGAATTACCTCCTCTTTTCTTGTTTCACGTCCTTTCTGTACAAACCAGATGACTTTTGCTTGTAAAGATCGTGGGGTACACTCCAACAAAGTACTGTTGTTCTCTATGCCATAAGCCAGTCG